ATATATATATATATACATACATACATACACAATATATATACACACATTTATATATAATATACATATTTATATTATTATATATAAATATAAAATTTTATAATGAATATTTGGTTTTGCTTCATACTAGTTAACAATTTCTTTATACAATTTCTGTTACCGTATAATAATTGTAAAACTATAAACAATCATATTGTTTTAAATTAATAAAATTATATTGAATCATTAAATTTTTTAACGGGGGGATCAACAGTTAGTATGCAACATTTGTCTCTGTTGTTCATCAAATAATAAAGAAAGATAAAATGACATTATGCACTTCATGCGTAACTCGAAACGCATTCTTTAAGATTTTGGAGATCAAATGTTTATTCACATTTTTTAAGTAATCTATACCTATTTATTTGATGACATTTTTCTTAACAATTCTGCATTCACATCCATGCTATTCAAAAATATATTTAAATTAGATGTTTGAAACATCATCAATTTCCACATTTTTCGTTTTTAAATTTAAAAGTTATTTAAATTTTATCTCAAGTTGATCTCTATTTTAAAAAAAAAGAGTACATTTGGTTTCAATAAGTAAAATGTAAGAGTACATTGTTTCATAATCTCAAAAAAGTATATATATTCTTGAAACAAATGATAACCCTAGTTACGATAGAAACACTAATACGTAGGTTAAACTAAAATATATTAATGGTTGAGATTTAAAAAATACAGTATATTGACGAGATGAGGAAATGTTACAAATTTTTCTATGTAAGAATCGGTTTCATCTAAAATTAATTAATTTTAAAGACATTGCAAATAAATTATTTTGTTTAATTTATTGTTATACATATATTTAGAAACATTAGCACGTAATTATTTCTTTTTAAGAATATAAGAAGAAATTATCATCTATTATTGTTGGTAAACACAATAAATTAAAAACGAATTTGTTGTGTCTACTAATCAAAAGTTATCCATTTTATTCAGTCGTTTAATCATGTAGTACCTAATCAGGATACAATATTTTTAAAATGTATTTTAAATATTTATTTAAATTAGGATTACAAAAATCTTAGATATCAGATATCCGATGTCACATTTTTTTCGGATATTTGATAGGACAATTATTCAAACGGATACCGGATATTTCTCAGATACTTGATACATTCTAGTAAAAATATTTAATAAATATTTAAAGATATTTTTGAAATATCGTGTGCTGAATAGATAATTGTATTATTCTCTCTTAATATTGTACATATGTATAAAACTACATGTTACTTCTCTTTTGATTTTTTCGATTTTTTAATTTCTTGTAGTATTGCAAGAAATACAAGTTACACATATCTATGTAATTTAATATTTCTATTTTATGTGTGACTGATAGATAAAAGATAAATAACTTGTGTAAAATTCTTTGTCGAGGTACAAGGAACGATCTTTACGCACTGAATCATGAATTCTATATTTCTTTTATGGTATAATCGAAAATATAAATTCCTTAATAAATATTTAAAAAAAAGTTAAAAGTATTTAACTTTTGGATAGTATTGTTGCAAGTGTATCTTAAGATAGTGAATTATCTTAAAGATATTAAACTAAAATCACAATAGAGAACAGAAGAGATATTCATATCTCTATCAGTGAGCAATAAATCATGGAAGTTACATTTAGCCATTAAAATATATAAAATTAATGCAATTGATGTACGCGTTTTATGAATGTGAAATAGAATATTACATGGTTCAGTCAATTGTCGAATAATACCAACGTAATACCTAATTTAGAAAAACTATTAATACAAAATATTTAAAATTATCTAGACGGATTATAATAATATCTTGTGTAATATTACACGAGTCACAAAATAGATTTAAAAGTTTAAACCTTTCACAATATCAGCTCATTTATACAATAGCAATAATTAATAAAATATAACTCATGAATAATTTATCTAACATAATATAAATTATTCTTGTGTAAGAAGATCAAAGTTTATTTCGCAAGATTCGGAAAAGAAGAAATGTCGAATGCTGCAGATGTTGATTGGCTAGAAAATGATTAATGTTTTGTCACATCTTTATGGGGAGGAAGATCCGAAACATCGTCTGTTGATTCAGTGCTAGGCGCGGATCTGTATTTATATACAATATGAAAAAAAATTGAAATGTGATAAAATATTTGTTATTTAATGTTATATGTAATTATACAACTGTTATTTTTAATTAAAAAAATATATATATATCCATATATACATATGTATATCTACCAGTGATGTCTAGGTAAAAAAGTATCTAATTATTTTAGCTGTATGTAAATTTAGCATTACTTAAATCATTATAGGCGGAAATATTTGTATTTGTACCTGGATATCTTTGTAGTACTTTTTAAGTTTAAATACGTAGATACAAGGTATTTATTTATACATCTTATGTTATAATATTAGAAACTTAATTTTTTTATTATATAAATTATCGTTTTTCTCTAATTCTCAACTCTCTTTGTGCAAATGCTTTTATTTGCTTCACTTTATAGAAAATCTTAGTGCTTACTAATTAGGGAATAGCGACTAAAGAATCTCATAGAAAGAGAATAGTAAACTGGTCATGCAACGCGATTACCTATAATTCCCAAATATCATAGCTCTATAAAGTCTATTACCGGTGCAGAAAAAATCGTAATACGTCACATTAGTAAGCAATATTGTTTTGTACTTTACATTTTTACCATTATAACTTGGAAATTAGGTTAAAACTAGCAACAAGTGTTTTTAATCTCTACAATTTTACCATTATATGTTGGAAATTAAGCTAAAACTAAGTTTGCTTTACTTACAAAAATTTACTTTTTTTATTTACAAAAATTTTTCTATGTACCTACTACCTATGTAGTAGGTACATAGAAACGCAGCTTGTTTTTTTCCGTTTTTTTCTCTTCTTTTTGTTAAAATAACTAAAAGTATCTAAATTTTTTAAAATACTTTTATGTTATACCTGTATTTTTGTACCCAGATAATTTTTCAAAAATATATCTGTATTTTATGTAATATATTTATAATTAAATACTTTTCCCATACAATCCCTATACTTCTACATTTCAAATATTTATTTGATATTTATTTGAACACTAATACACATATATATATAAATATATACAAATGTTGAACATGAAGCATTGAAATTTTGTTACTTATTACAATCAATGTTTAGTTATTGCTTGATTAATATAACTGTTTCTCTATCTACTTATTCTTCATGCCATTAATATATTAATGTAATATTTCTTATATTCATATAGGAAACGCAATGTTTAATTTAAATAATCTATTTACGTTATAATAAATGTAATAAGTATATAATGAATAATTACTTATCAAGGACATCTATCTGTTCCGTGTTTTCACAAATTTTAGATGAAGTTGCTGAGTGTATTTTATCTTCTTTTACAATTGTATCCGTGTTTGCATCGCTACTCACATAATCTATAACATCTGAACATGGAACTGAAATCCTACATTTAAATATAAAGTGGTTAAAGAAGTAAAAAATACAACATAGAAATTTGTTTCTATTATATATAATACATTACTTCGTTATGCGGACAAATATATTGTTTTATAACTTTCAATTTATATTATACTTGGACATGCGATCTAGCATGGCAATTTGGTAAATACAAATCTTAGATCTAATTATTCTTGTACGAAAATTAAAATAAAAGAATATTATTGATATTATTAATTTGTACTTTTCTAGATACTAAACATGGTAATAATACACATATTTTGATAAGTGCCTACTGCCTTATTAAATGCTTATTTTAACTGTTATATTTCTTTAGGTGATATATTCATTTATTATTATCAACTTTATTAATTATTGTCAACTTTACGCTCTTCAATATCAATTTTTCATTACCTCTATAGTACACTTACCCGTGTTTTTTTCCTAAGTGTGCTTCTAATTTCTTTTTATCGTACATCATTATTATGCTACATATGTTACATTTCACGAACTGTGTGTCTTCTATTTCGGTAAAATGATCCAATGTCCAACAAGTACGTTCATCTTTCTTTTCTTCTTCTGTCAATTTGTCCGAATGATTCCATATCAAGTGATCACGTAAGAAGGTTGGGAATCGACTTGTTACGAATCTCGGACAATGATTACATTTCGCGTAAACACTGTCTGGTATTTTTTTGTAATGTCTACGTATCCACTGACAAACTGGGAATTGATTCTGGAAATAGATTTTGACTTGGGGAGATTCATGGAATGTTGCTTTTTGTTCTGACATTCTAACTGTTTTATATTATAATATCTGTAACTAATATCTGTAACGGAATATCTGTAACTAACCACCGAATGTATAGAAATGATGTGAAGAAGCGTTTGCACTGCTTGTAAAAGGTCAAAAACATAGGTACGTTCATCGACGTAATATAAATATTGATATGTATATAATTTGAATCTGCTAAACTCCCGAATCATACAGCTCTGCTCGCACACAACACTAATTACATTACTTATATAAAAAAAGTAATTAAAAATTACCTTTTTAATTTACTTTAAATAGAAATACAATTTCAATTTCAACTGAATGTTATTTACCACTAATAGTGTTATATTTGTAATACTATACCATTATACATTAGGACTCCCTCTGATATCACAATGAGGTGCCTTTGTGGAAACAGAATTTTGTCGCCCCTTTGAATTTTTTTATTAACCTTTTCTTAACCTTTTAAATAAGCTATTTTTTAAATAATTAGGTTCCAAATAACCGTTGCTTCCGTTTTTATATATGTTTTCAATATGAGGAATAAGGTGCACGTGATCTTAATTTCGAGAGATAAAAATCTTTTTTTAATGTTAGAACTTATCGAATTTATATTCTGCAGTAAGCAGGAAACATTAGATCAATATTTTAATATATTGACTTTATTTTATCAACGTTTTCATCTAATACTTTGTAAATGTGTTTATAATATTATATAATAATATAAGATATTTTTAACCTTCAAGAAATGTTTTAAGAATTTATATTCTTAACTTTAGCACGTAACGTTGAAAGAACGTTGTTGAGATGTCGCATTATATTAAATGTTAGTATATGAACGTTTTATCAATGTTGAAAATCTTTGTTTTATCATCTCTGAGTCACTTGAAAAAAGTACATTTTACATTTTTAAAAAGAGCTAATAATTCGAAGAAAGAGAAGGTGTACTTTTTGTATTAAATGTAGCTATTCAAATAAAATGAAATTTCTATAGAATTTTTATTGACAATCCCTATATTAATATAATTTTGTAAATATAAAATGTTAATTAATGACAAAATTTTTTTAATTTTAACAAAAATAAAATTGAAGGAAGAAAATAAAAGTTATCATGAATACAATATATGTATATACGTTTCTGCAGCAAATGTGCATAAGAGACAATTAATGTAAAGGATCGTAAAGTCATCTGTTTTTATTAATCGCAATGTTTGTAGACTAAGATTGCATATATTATTTTTACACATATGACAATTCTTTTTCAAAATCAAAGTACAGGACGCGATAATATTAATCTAGTGTGGAATTTATACCATATGTATGACACAAATTTTTGAAATTAAAGTCTTTTCATGTCGTAATTCCCCAGATAGCCAGTCGTGCAAAAGTCACAGCTAGGACAAGCTGTGATTTTTATAGTTTAGATATTATACAGTATCGTGCAAGTCAATGTCGTCAGATTTTACTACTTCAAATTATATTACAGTGCTAGCATTAAAACAAAACTGCGTGCTTTGGAATTGCACGGCTTTTACGCGTGACTAGTTTCGTGCAAAAATATTCAATGTCTAATTTTCAAGCAGTGCACAATATCGCCTTTAGAGAGACACAGTGAAATTCAGTTATTCGTATTTAAAAAATCGCATCAAACTGGATAAAAGGCGCAGTATGATGAGAAATTCTCAGCAAAAAATTTTTATCTTTTATTTTAGCTGCGTTCTTCTAGATCATCCAATTAAAGTTGTCAGCAAACTCAACATCTAAAAGTCTAATTGGATGAGCTAGAAGAATACATCAATAACAGCAAGCGCTCATTCAACTGTTGAGTCTGCTAAATATAGCCAATGATGATGATGATGATGATGATGTCTTGATGTTCCCATAATTGGCTTCAAGATGATTGAATTAATAAAAATTTTATACGCCGTAATAGGATCGTGCAATTAGTGCGTTGATTCAAAAAGACAAAATTTATAATTCATCATGCAGTCAACGTGCTGCTGCAACGTAACATAACGTCGTGCTGGCAATGTGCGATCAACGTGCTGTTTACATGATTTATTACGTTTTAGCATTCTAGCTAGGTCTCTTGATTCGAGTCAGCTTGTAATCAAAGAAAATACCTATAAAATAATAAATACAATATTCGAACGTTTTGAGTGCAGGAAATATTTAGGAGAACACGCTGAGCGCGAAATGCAAAGTACCGTTGTATAAATTATGTTCTTAAATCAGGTTTTCCCCGTTATTTTAAAACATGTGTGCGTTTTCGCTTTATTGCACATTGCCGCTAACCTTATCTTGCGTATATAAAAAAATGGATAAATATTGTAATAAATAAGCATATAAATTTTCCGTCATTTATTTTCGAATCTTCTTTAAAATAGCAAAAAAAAAACCAAGTCCAAAATATAAATATACATTTGAAATGTAATTTATTCATTGAATTTTGATTAATGATCTCTTCTGACTGTTTTCGCTAGCAAATTATAAATGCACATTAATTGATCATACATAAGATATTCGATATCAGGAGGATTGAACGTCCGATTCATTTACATTGACCCCTGTCACCTTTCCAATATATTGGAACACGAATTACTCATAAAATGAAACAACAAAATAATGCAAGTGCTATAAATAATTTCAGCTGTACTGATATATTGTGACATGCGTTGCATATTACCTTCACTTGCAGTTATTGCTTTTGAATTTACACGCGCGGCACTTGTCAAGTATCTACAAAAATGTTTTATCTTTTGCGATAGCGATCGACGAAGCGATACTCAGTAAACTCATGATATACTCTTTAACTATTTCAACTTCAGCTATTCAATTGTATATATTTCTCTTATCAACTTTTCTTACGCCACAATATCTATAGAGTAATTAGCACATAACCTTGTAATAAACTTTACTCTAATAATTACTGTTTTTAAGATAAACGTCAAACGAATAGTCAGCTTAAGCTACTTATGATTATTTCAGATGATTTGATTACGTTTGCAAAATTTAATTAAATGTATAATATAACATTTTATGTAACGTAATAATATTTGTAGCAAAAAAAATATATATATATACTGGCTATTAAATTCATTAAAAATAAAATATATATAAATGTAGGTAAAGCAAAACAAACAATTACAAAGCTGAGATTTATTTTAGCTAATAATGTTTTAAAATAATCTCTATATAAGAATTATAACTTTTCATTTCTTTCACATTGATTTTTACCGATCCTTTGTCGCAAATATGTATCGCATAAACAATCAAATATTAATTTTCTGTATATATTTGTTGCAATTACGCACCTTACAAGATGGTGTTATTTTTCTGTGAATTAACGAGGCAGTGTGCCTACTATATATCAAGGATACTTACAATCGAGTACTTCAACTCTAGATACTTGTTCGCGATATTTTTATATACTTTGATGTATGTACAAATAAATGTTTTTTCTTTACTTTTATTCTTCTACATTTTTTAGTAAAAAAAAAGTCATTGGAGCATTTATATTTGGAGTAGCCGCGAAGATCTACTAAGAGATAATTTTTTCATTTGTGAAATTTCTATACAGTCGCAAGTATCGGAGCACATTTTATAAATAAATAGCAAACAAGCATGGAAAGGCGGAGAAGCTATTCAAATTATTCGGATTATTTCACTCATTGTCAGTCCTCTTTTGTTTATCATCTTGATTCTCATTACGTGTTACAATTAGTCGAAGGAAACGTAATTTCTGTATTATAAAGTCATTTTTTTTACGTAATATTTTTTGTTTCTTTTTTTATTTTCGAATAAATTTAGTTTTATTTTTGAAACATATTTAGTTTATGACGTTAACGTATTGTAATATTACAGCTAAGTAAACATAACTCAATATAAATTAGCTGTAAGATTACAAGAATAATTTGCGATATTTGAACATATTTGTATATTTCTAGTATATCTCTAGAAAAAAATGCATTTGATATACATCGCAGAGTCATATCTTATGAATCTTGAATCTAAAATTTTTAAAATTTCATTACGTTTCATTCAAAAGGCATTCGTATACCTTAACATTGCAACATTGATATTATCATTAAATAACATTTACTGTATCTAAATTTAATAATAAAAATATCTAAATCACAATCACGTGTTCATATCGTGGCTACACTGAGGCTTTCCAGTCTATCTTGCATTATTAATTTTGTTATTTTTTCGAAACGTGGGAACATTTGAGAATGTAAACAGAATTTAGAAAGATCACAGTGACAAAATTATAATTCCTTAACGTTATATTCGCATAACAAAGCTATAATATGTATGTAGTACTATGCAATTTTTTACAAAGCAATTTTTTTAAGATAATTTAGCATCGTTCGGCTCTCAATGGCAGGAGAACGTTATCGTTTGAATGTCTGATTTAAGTCGACGTCATTATTCATAAACTTTTTAAATAATGTTCATCAATGCGATGTGCAG